CCCCCGCTCGCCCCCCCCCCCCCCGAAACCGTTATAAGCAATATATGTAAATATTCACCTTCACCTCCGAGATTATGGAACTGTTCTTCATATTTCAGTTAAGGAACGTCGAAGCTTGTACTTTCCTCGTGGCGCTGCAGCTTAACAGGCCTTATCCTTACCGAGTAAGTGACTTGTCAACATGGGAGGTGAGCAAAAATCAAACCTTTTCTTTCCGAATAATGGTGTTATAGCAAACCTTCTTCTTGGAACTGAACTCGGGTTTTGGCCTTTCAAGCCTATTGTGGTGCTGCCATATCTGGGCAGGGAGCTTTCACCGGCGACATATCGGTCGTTCTTCATCCCCTACAAGTGGCAGGAGAAAAATGTATTTGGAAAGTACTCTTTACTTAGGAGAATCCCCAAATGAATCCAAAACCCTAAATATTGTAGTGCAGAGTTTAACAACCCTAAGTCCCATGTTCCTTGACCATCTGATCTTTTGCATTATGTCCATTGTATTGACTGTTAGAGTGTTTGACGGTTTAGTGACCCAAAAGGGATAGTTGACTTGTGAGACTCTCCAAGTGGTTGGACGAAGAACATGAAATCCAACACCCACATCCGCATGTATATATATATATCACACACATGTGCTAAATAGTAAATATTATTTTATAAAGAATAAAAAAACTAAGAAAAAAATAGAGTTTTTATACTTGGGGAACCCACCGGAGAAACTGTTGGCGTTTGATCAACGCGTCAATGAAATAAGAAAAAGTACACTTGCACTTAATTCCCGGGTAAATAATTAATTAAAGGTGTTGTTTATGTTTTGGGATTTGGTTTGGTTTTGATTCTTTTATATTTTGTTAATATTTTTAATTTTTGAAAAATTGTATTTATTTGTTGAGTTTTAATCGTTTTCGATCTCTTTGAACATAGTTTGTATTTTGTTTTTATTAATAATATATATTTTTAATGAATTTATTGTTTTAGTTCAATTTTTAAAATTTTATATTCGAGTGAGTAATTTATTTTTCTAAAATATATTTTATTTACTTTTATATTTTGATTTTATATTGTTTCAAATACAATTATATATTATTATTTTCATTTTGAATTTTTATTACATAGAAATATTCAACTCTGTTTACCAAAAATTAGTTGGGAAACTCTTATAAAAAAAAAATTATTTGGGAAACACCGGAAGTATAAAAGGTACATATAACATATGCAAATGTGTATATAAGTGTGGTGTGTGACTATGTATTCTTCTGATTTCTTATGTTGGATAAACATATATATTTTTAGAATTTACAATTTAGACTCCATACTTTTTGTTTTGTAATAAATATATGAATATAAATCTAACTATGATTTAAAGTTTTCGGAAAAAGACATGATTGACGTTTATTTAGGCATTATATCAAAAATATATTTGCTTTGTTATTTTAACTTCAAAACATATCCTTTCTCTATGAATATGTGATCTAAAATATAATATGGTTATATTTTGATTTTATTAATTATAATCTATAAATTTATAGTTTATAATTTATATATTTTACTAATCATTTGATTAAAATATTATAAATTTAACGTTACGAATAATGAGATTAATATATGATTATATTTTATTTCGGATTATATAAGTCACATTAGGACAATTGAAAAAAATATGTGTTGGAGTAAAATAGGAAAGTAAGAATAAAGAATATTTTTGATAATGGATTATTTATTTGTATACAATTATTTACGTATTATTCCGATAAATATTATTTTACATTGTTTTTTCAGTAAATATAAATTATGGAAAGGAGGACGTCAGAGAGACGACGAAGCGTCTCCTCGATTATCAGCCTTCGTCTTTCACAGCTTCTCTCTCTGGAAAACCCTAAGCTCTGTGAGATCGATCGAGCCATAGCACGCGACAATGGCGAACAGTAATCTTCCCCGAAGAATCATTAAGGTCCGTTTTCTGATTCTGTTATCTCGATCCCTTTGCCGATCTCTCTCTCTCTCTCTCCCCCTCTCGAGAGGTCTAAGGGTTTTAATCTGGAATCTGTAGAACAAAGAGCTGAACGAGTCCGATAGCTCACCGAGTTGCGATGAATTTTTCGGATCATATTCTTCGAATTTTGTAATTTTGATCTGACATTTGTTATTTTCGCGATCTGGTAGGAAACTCAACGTCTGCTCAGTGAACCTGGTAAATCCTTCGATTCATCCTAGCTCTTTGTGATTTATAGTTGATTTTTTCCGGAAATGTCAATTTGACGGACGAATTTCGGACGATTGATCTCCCATGGGTTTTGAGTTTGGCATTAAGAAGATTTAGATAAAGGCGATCTTGATGGAGCTTTTTGTAACAATCCTTGCAGCTCCCGGGATAAGTGCTTCTCCATCTGAGGACAATATGCGGTACTTCAATGTTATGATTCTCGGCCCTACTCAATCTCCTTATGAAGGTAACTGATTGTTCGTCTCCGAGAATGCTCGTTGTTGAATTGTTTATTTCCTCTGTTGAAATTCCAGGGAATGATACATCTTTTCCTCAATGTTCCAAGCTGATTTTTGTTTAGAACAAGGATTGCTGATGAACGGGATGGGTTGATTGTTTCCTATTTAATAGAAACGCTGGATATATATTGATAATGTTTGGTGCAATGGATAAGTATCAACTTATACATTATCTCATGTTTGTCAATATATTTGGTTTATCGTTAGTGTTTCTGACATATGCCAAGTTAAAGTCTGCTGTTTTTCTCTTCCAAAGTCAGAGACTTTCTTTTCTAATCATTTGCTTCGTCTCGTTTCTTTAGGAGGAGTTTTCAAGTTGGAGCTCTTTTTGCCTGAAGAATATCCCATGGCAGCTCCCAAGGTAAGCCATTTGCTGTTTGCGAGTTGTCCTATTCCCCATAGCTGGGTTTTTTTTTTGCATATATTATAGTAACTTGAATATGATCAATGATGATTCAATGTCATTGGTATGGCCTTCATCATGGTAAACAAAAAAGAATCTGCTAAGATTGGTGAATGGAGTCTTCACTAATCAGCTCTACTTTCAAGCAATAATCATTTAGGATAAATAATCCTGTTCTTGTTGTGTCCATTCCCTTGTTATTTGCAGACTATTTTTCTCCCCGTTCTTGAGGTGCTACTCTCTAGTATTATTATATCTTACGGGTGCTAGCGTCTGATATTGGTGGGTTCCTCGTGTTTCAGGTTCGGTTTCTCACCAAGATATACCATCCTAACATTGACAAGGTGTGTGAAGAATTTCTTCCGTTTGACATTTTACCTTGCAAGCCAGCAAACAAAATGTGCAAAGTCGTGTATCTTATGAGGACCTGTTTCTTTTGCACAGCTTGGAAGGATTTGCCTTGATATTCTGAAGGACAAGTGGAGTCCTGCACTACAAATAAGAACAGTGCTCTTGAGGTATATTATATAATATAATTCCATTGATTCTTACCCTGCTATATAACAAGGACGTGTGTATATTTGCTGGTAAAGATTTGATAGGGCGATTGAGTAATGAACGTAATGATATCGGGCTGATTGGTTTAATTTTAATTGGTGTGGGTTGGTGAAGTATTCAAGCTCTTCTAAGTGCACCGAACCCAGATGATCCGCTGTCTGAGAACATCGCTAAGCACTGGAAGACAAACGAGGCAGAGGCCGTGGAAACAGGTGCGTGGATACATCTTTTTAGTTGGCATTTGGCCTTTCCTGAAAATCCAGGCATTTCTTAACCGTATTGAATCTGTGTTCACAGCTAAGGAATGGACCCGCCTTTACGCCAGCGGAGCATGATCATGGGGCCGAAAGAAGAATCATTGGATCGTCCCCCCCAATAACATTCCATTACAAGAAAAGAACAAAAGGTTTGGAACGGAATCCGAGTTATAAGAAAAGGCTTATTTCTGGGTTTCTGGTGGTAAAAAAACTCCGTTTTGTCTCCCTTCTATGTGCGTCATTTTTTTTTAAAAAAAAGATGTAAGCTCTCACTGAATATGTGTATTACTATACCAAGGGTTTTCAAGACTGGCTTTGCTCCTAATCTTTGAAGTGGTACCTTTGTCTATTTGTTGTGTGCGTCCGCCAGAGGTCGCCATGAATACTGAATTTTTCGAAGCGGTCATATTATTCCGGAATTGTTTCTAAAGTACATAAAAAAAGTCTTTCATTTCGGATATGTTGATTCTGTTGGTTGATGATGATGCGAAATCGTTTTTCAATTTTTTTTATCTTCGGCATATGTCCTCGGTCAAATTCGTTTGTTTGTTTCGGTTTGTTTAAAAATATATTGTAAAATCAACTACAAATGCTTCATGCATAATACAAATATGTAACATTCTTCTGTCATCCACCGAGAAACTGAGGGAGTTCAAATATATGGTTTTATATTTCGGTCGGCGATGGTGTTTAAATGGAACAGGTACATAGAGAGTAGTAGTCGTAAGTCGTGAGTCGTGACTCCCAAATGGTAAAAGATGACAAAAAAAAAATCATTTGATCAAATTAATAAAGGGTTCAGATGAGCTCAAAAACTGGCATCCTCAGTGGAAGGACGCCTCAAGTAGTACCTGAGACTGTTGGCAATGACCTGTTGGAGTGGCTTTATTAGTGCCTTGTTCTTGTAGCTCACATGGAACTTCGCCTTCGCCAGCAATCCCTTTTTCCCCCCCCCCCAACAAATCACCATCAATTAATACACACGCTGTCTTTTTAAGAGAATAAAAGACATGCATACATATATATGTTTATGTGATAGAGAGAGAGAGAAAGAGATATGGCTTCTCACCTCGGTGTCGAACTCTCCTGACTCCACAGCAACGTTGATATCCGATATGATCTTCACCAGTTCAACCAACAGTCCTGGTCTGTCCGCTGTTTCTATGTATAGTAAACTTTTACACACACACACAGAAATACCAAAAAAAACCCCTCCCTCATCAGTAAAATATCATTTATTTTGATCAAATGTTATTTCTTTTTTTAAAACTATGAGATGTGATGAGGTGCGGATAAACCAAAGAGATAAGGGGGGGCAAATGCATTACCTTCGGTCGGGACCATCATCTCCAATGCTTATGTGCGTTGCTATATCCACATCAACCTGTTAAATAATATATATATATATATACACACCCACATCGAATTTGAGTCCTTTCTTTGAAACTCTTGCCTTGTCTTGCCTTATTTTATTCTTCACATCTTCTCAATCACATATATAGCTCATTTCAACCCCACACACACGCTACGCTACCATCTTCTTACCAGAATGGCCTCCATTCCATTTAATGATAAGAAGGGTATCGTGCTTTCTTTTTCTCTTTATTAGCGATGTAATTGGCGGGAGGGTGACACTTCAACGTTTTGAAGATATTATATAACTATGTCATGGAAATTAGAAAAATTGTCCGCCACATAGCTATCTATGTAATAGACCCCCACAAGAAATATGTTTGTGATTGCCTTCCCTTTCTTTACTACTTGACAAGGACATGGCCAGTGAACCGAATAATCTTTGGTTATACAGTAAAATACATAACATGGAAATAAGTCTTTAACTGTGATAGACGAATAAAAGTATGATTGCATCGAGCTGAAGGATGCATAAAGTACCTGCTGAGATGGTGGAACGACCCCGAAAGCTGCTCCCATTGCCAGCTGGGAACTTGATTCCTGATCCAACATCAGGAAGAAGCATGAGTTAATAATTGAAGGTAGGCCATACCTGAACTTAGGAAGGGTGATAGTAGGATGCAGTAATTACCGGATGATACTGGAGCAAATTGTTTATGATTGTCAGTCGGATTGCCTCAAGCAATTCAGGGTCTTCCACTTTTCTCCCAGTATCCCTGTTAAGCACAAAACCCAAACATTTTCTATCAGCTGTGGCATACTTGGTAAAATCTTTTTGACTCCATTCATCTATAGTCCGGATCGCTGAATTTTCATTTGGCAGTACACAGGTGAAGTATTGAGAAGACTTAGAGAGAGATACAGTTGATAAACTCTGTTTATGGAAATTTAGGAACAAAGACGACATTCGTACGCTTTAGTAATGGAAAATGTGTTGTGCTTCCCAGAAGAATCGAGGTAAACATTTGCCTTGGTGACATTCAAGCCCAGAGTTTTGAGCGAATTCATCTGAAGCAAGATTGATGAAATAAAGCAATCAGAAGCTTGAAGTATCATCCAATCCAAGTTAAACGGACGAGAAATGAGAGGAGTTGACAAAATATGGAAAAAGGAGGCAGATTTGTGAAACCAACTATTGAATAAGAAAATCTCATACCGTGTCAAGAAGAGCTCCAAGACGATCCCCAAAGGTAACTTCCACGATTGTTGCATCGGGGTCAGAGTCTTGGTCGATTATAACCACTGGAGTTGGGACATTATCAGCATCAACACCACCCCCGTCTTGCTTTCCATTCTTCAGAAGCAAAACAAAAAAACTTAGCTGGTTTCAACTATTTTCTTGTCTAATCCAATTCATACCTCCACAGCTGTAGCATTTGATGCTTGGAGTTTCAAACCGGACAATCTGACAAAACAAAGGCATTCGATTAGTTGAATAATTGCTAAAGCCAAACAGCAGCTCAAACCATAGAAGGGAATCAAACTGTCACTCGAACCATAATATCCAATTCAACAGAGATGGAAAGCTGAATGAATCTGTCAAGATTCATAGAACTACACGATGAATGCTCTATTTTCAACATGACGGGCCCAACTCTCGACGAAGATTCTACATTCTACACCAGCTAGTTTACATGATCATTGCATACATGAGTGATTACTATTTTCTAACAACACCGGATATCATATTTGGCCGCTTTGATTTATTCCACTAGTTCGGTGGCATTATCTGATATTCCACGTAGCAGGCACAAGAAACAGTGAACTAGATACTTCAATCGGGTATCGTTTTCAGAAATCGCCATCCAATGAGCAATTCTCGCAACTGAAGCAAAGTCAATAGCATTATTGAAATCCAGAATAGAATTCCAAGACTTACAACAAAACCGAAGCGAACGAAGATCGTGAACAACATGTAAATCAATCAAAAGTCAAACAAAATAAAACCGGTAGCACCATCAGAAAATCCCATAGATTTCGAGATCCGAAGAGCTATTTCTCAACTCTACTGCAGTACATTCACCAGCGCTTATTTCAGCAAATCCGAAGCGAACCAGATCGAAAGCTTTAGCTAAAACTGGAGAAGCTAAAAAAATCCTACCGAGCGCCAAAAGAAGTTCGAATTCAAATAAAAAACACCAAAAACGAACGAGCGTTCAACAGAGTTGAAATCAAATCAACCGGATAACAAATAACAACGGAGAAGAAAAGGGAAAAAACCTTAATCTCTCGACATTTCCCGGATTTTTCTCGGAGAATCCAAGCGCGATCCTCGGAAGAGCAAAGAAGAGTGTAGCACATCCACCTCGTCGGAGAGCGCGGGAACTACATGCGGTGGAGAAGCAAAGAGCGCAACCAGAAGCAGAGGCGATAGCCATGGCTGATCGGAAGTAGGAAACTCAACGTCTG